AATGGAAATGGGGAGGAGCCTAGGGCGAAGTGTCTTCTGGCCGCTACTGCTTGGCAGCGCCACCTCAGGGCCCTCTACCTAGGAGGTAACACTCTGCAAGCTGGCAAAGCAGACGCCTCTCTCGGGTCCCGCTCCAGTATTACAAAGCAGGGCCAAGAGGGAGGGATTTGGAGCTGGAAGACAGTAAGTGGCAATGGCCATAGTTCACTCTTTTGGCTACTTAGCTTCCATATAACCTACACTAATGCAATAGCTACTCGTTGGCTACTGAATACTTAAACTGTGACTAGCCTGAACTGAGATGCGCTAAGTGGAAAATATATACTACTAGAGGCCTGGTGCACAAAAATTTGTGCACTCGGGGAGGGGGGAGGGGGGGGGTCCCTCAGCCCAGCCTGTGCCCTCTCGCAGTCTGGGACCCCTCAGGAGACAACGACCTGCTGGCTTAGGCCTGCTCCTGGGTGGCAGAGGGCAGGCCCAATCCCTAGGTGCAGCCCCTGGTCAGGCTCAGAGCAGGGCCGATTGGGGAGTTGGGGCACCGCCCCCTGTCATGCACAGAGCAGGGTGGATCGGGAGGTTGCGATGCCACCCCTAGTCACGCTCAGGGTACAGCCGATTGGGGGGTGATGGCTGTTTGCAGCTGGTCACACCCCCTTCAGGGTGGGGGTCCCCACTGGGGTGCCTGGCCAGCCTGGATGAGGGGATGATGGCTGTTTGCAGCTGGTCACACCCCCTTCAGGGTGGGGGTCCCCACTGGGGTGCCTGGCCAGCCTGGATGAGGGGATGATGGCTGTTTGCAGCTGGTCACACCCCCTTCAGGGTGGGGGTCCCCACTGGGGTGCCTGGCCAGCCTGGATGAGGGGATGATGGCTGTTTGCAGCTGGTCACACCCCCTTCAGGGTGGGGGTCCCCACTGGGGTGCCTGGCCAGCCTGGATGAGGGGATGATGGCTGTTTGCAGCTGGTCACACCCCCTTCAGGGTGGGGGTCCCCACTGGGGTGCCTGGCCAGCCTGGATGAGGGGATGATGGCTGTTTGCAGCTGGTCACACCCCCTTCAGGGTGGGGGTCCCCACTGGGGTGCCTGGCCAGCCTGGATGAGGGGATGATGGCTGTTTGCAGCTGGTCACACCCCCTTCAGGGTGGGGGTCCCCACTGGGGTGCCTGGCCAGCCTGGATGAGGGGATGATGGCTGTTTGCAGCTGGTCACACCCCCTTCAGGGTGGGGGTCCCCACTGGGGTGCCTGGCCAGCCTGGATGAGGGGATGATTGCTGTTTGCCGCTGGTCACACCCCCTTCAGGGTGGGGGTCCCCACTGGGGTGCCTGGCCAGTCTGGGTGAGGGGCTGAGGGCTGCTTTCAGGCTGGCGGTTGTTGACTGAAGCTCCCAACCGCTCCTTTTTTTTCTCTTTTTTTATTTTATTCTGGGCCAGCTTTAGCTCTGGCTCTAGCTCTGAGGCTTCGTATCTGGTTTGTTTGCCGTTCTATAATCGAAACAATGTATAACTTCAGCTCTGAGATCCCGGCAGGCTGAAAGCTGGTTTCTAGGGTTTTGTTTAGCTTCTTATTTGCAACATAGTACATAGTTGCTTAGAGTTGCAACTCAGAGGCTGGCAAGTGAGGCGGGGAACGTTGGAGTCTGCAGTCACTGAAGCAAGGAAGCCTCATGTTCGCTTCCAGCTGCCTGGCTGCCGGCCGCCATCTTGGCTGACAGTTAATTTGCATAAGGATATGCTGATTAGCCAATGGGAAGGGTAGCGGTCATACGCCAATTACCATGTTTCTCTTTTATTAGTGTAGATATCTCAAAGACCAGGCATATGGTAAATGTCAAATATCTCATTAAATTTTATATCAATTCCATGTTAAAGTGCTATTTTGACTCTAGTCAAGTTAAATAAAATATATTATTAAAATTAATTCTGCCTAATTTTTTTTAATGTGGTCACTAGGAAATTACATGTATGGCTTGTACCCCAAGTATTAAATGCTCCCCGAGTAGCTTTGGACAAAGTTTCTAGTATCCAACAAACCCCAGTTGGTGAAATGGTTGTTTGTACTCCACCCCTCCTCAGGGTTACATGCTTTAATTCCGATGCATACTGCAAGCTGACCCAGCTCCCCAGCCCTCCTCATCTATAATTCAGAGAAGCAGCCCACGGGCTAATTTTGACTAAACATTTGTTCTGTCATTTCCCTCTTCAATGCCAATTTTTCCAATATAAATATAGCTATGGTACCCAATAAGCATTGAAACTTGCCACATAAGTTTCAACAAAAGCAACTCCAGAAGAATTCATACAGTAAAGGACATAAAGGATACAACATGGCAGAGTCATGGGACTGCAGATTAGGAAACCATCTAGCTTCTCTTCCTGGCTCTGACCAACTTGGGAAACATGTAAATCTCTGGCCCTGTTTCTACATCTGCTTAGAGAAAGATGGAGCTGAATTATTTCACTTTTATTCAAACTACAACATGAAACTCTTTGAGAGATTGTAACCAGCTTTCTTTCTTTTTAATAAATAGGACAGAATTAAAAAGTCAAGACATTTTCTGAAACTTGTTTCAGATATATATCCTATATAATAGAGGTAATATGCAAATTAATCCTCACGCCCTCACAAGATGGCTGCCTATGACCAGGCCAGCAGGGGGGTGAGGGATGACCAAACGACAGAACAAGCAGGCTTCGTGGGGCGACCAGGCTGGCAGGGGGGTTAGTGATGACCAAATGACTGAACAGCAGGCAGGCAAGCAGGTGAGCGATTAGGAGCCAGTGGTCCAGGATTGTGAGGGATGTCCCGGATTGGAGAGGGTGCAGGCTGGGCTGAGGGGACACACACCCCGCCCTGCACAAATTTCGTGCACCGGGCCTCTCGTATATATATAGATAGATAGATTTCAGAGAGGAAAGGAGGAGAGCTAGAAACATCAATGATGAGAATCATTGATTGGCTGCCTCCTGCACACCCCACACTGGGGATTGAGCCCACAACCCAGGCATGTGCCCTGACCAGGAATTGAACCATGACCTCCTGGTTCATAGGTTGATGCTCAATCACTGAGCAACACCGGCCAGTATATTTTATATACTGGTTTGCATTATAAGATATTTCTTAGTGAATGTCACAGTTAGTTTGAAAGCCACTGATGTAATCTTTTAAATTTCTATGTAGTAGTTTGAATTCTTATTGATCTGTTTTGTTCTAAAATTATTTCAAGACCAGTAAATCACGAAGCATGAAATCACCACTTATATGGAAAGTTTTATCAAAGCTAACATTTATTTGGTGCATACTCTGTGTTTGCTCTCAGGTGCCTTCACATATATCTTTTCCTTTAATATGTAAAAGCAATCATGTGAGGTATTTTACAGGTTAAAAAGACAACATAACAAAAAACTACTTCCCCTTAACTTATTCAGGTGAAAAGAAGGGTTATAAGCATTCCAAAATAAAAACAAAAACAAACAAATCAAACCCAACCAAGTACATGGTCTATTTCCATTTCCTTTGTACATCATCTACAGATATCACACACTTCAGCACTGGAAGAGCCAATTCAAACAAAAGGGAATCTTCCTTGTAATTTTTGTCTACAGGTGTTTTTTAACTTACCAATTTTCTACTCTAAGCACGAGACACTTAAATGCTGTCAATATCTGAAATAATTTTAAGGTGATCTAGTACTTTGAAAATTCTGTTCACACAGAAATAAAAGTCTAAATATAGAACTTTTTCAGAGGCAATTTCTCAACAGAAAAAGGCAATGGTAACAGTTCAATTGATGGAAATGATTTAAATAAAATACCTTCAAGAAAATAAAGTGTAGGGAAATTTTTTCTGCAGATGTAGCACCATTACCTCAATAAATGAGCAAATTTCAAGATGTGAGAATTACATTTTTTTTCAAATAACCTATTTCATACTTATAAGTTCAAAGTATATGTTATTACATTAAGCTTTCCTTCTAACTAAAAGTTCAACACACTGACATCAAGGTATTTTACAAAATAAAAAGCAATTTCCTAATAAACAGTGACTACTAAATTGTTACAAAGAAAAACTCTAACATTAAGCAATTTTATTCCATATGTAAACTTTTCTCAAGGGAAATATTGTGTTACAAACAAGACATAATCTGGTCAAGGTGAATGTATTTGACAAAACACTTGATCTTCCTAGTGCTTTTTATTCCTTGGCTGTTTCTTCAGCATTCGAGTCCTTTTTCCAAAACCATGTAACAAAATACAGCTCATACAGAACCCCAATATAAAGCTGACTTTTTATTTTTTTTAATATGTTTTTATTGATTTCAGAGAGAAGGAGGGAGAGGGACAGAGGGATAGAAACATCAATGATGAGAGACAATCAATCGTTGATTGGCTGCCTCCTGCACGCCCCCTACTGGGGACTGTGCCCACAACCCAGGCATGTGCCCTGACTGAGAATCGAAAGGTGACCTCCCGGTTCATGGGTAGATGCCCAACCACTGAGCAACACTGGCCAGGTGCTGACTTTTTATTTTTTAAATTATGCTCTCACTGAATGCCGCCATCAATATTACCATCACTTTATAATCAAGTACTGTCTGGTCAATGATATATTTAGTGTGTGTATACATATGTATTTCAATGAAAACTTAGTATCAGCACACTAAATGGCATATGATTTATTTTAAAGAATTGCTGGTCTCATACTTAAAAAACCACAAACTCTACGGCAGCAACTATAATACATGTATATTTCTCTGAAAGATGATTTTAAAGTTATCATATAATGGCATCATATAATTTAACAAAATAAAAATCACATTTATAACATAAGGCTCCATCTGCGATTGAATGAATAATCAAAGAAAAATATCAGAGAAAGGCTTTGAAAAATAAAGTATGTTTCCTGTTAGAAGAATTTATTCTTTCCTTCTAAAAATATCTATTTATAACGTTCAAACAAAAGGTTTCTGAAATTCCTAGAAAAGAAGTAAACTTCAGTTGTAGTAATTGATGAGGTCACACTTTATCATGGTAAACTCAAAATCAATCTCTTGGTAGCCAGAAGATACAACTGCTTATTTTTATAGAAGTAAAGTTTATTACAGTTGAAACAATACAGCAGAAATCTCAAATGTTTACTCATTAAATATAGTTTAATTCTTACAAATCTCCTTTTGAAAATGCAATTCATATATACTGCAACCTCAGAATTTTGAATTCAAGTGAAATATAAAGGCAGTATTCAGGGAAATCACATCAGGGAGCTTTGTCAAATATATGTACAAATCAGTACATACCTCTCCTGTATGGACACCATAGGAAAAAGTGATTCTAAATATATCCAATGAAATACAGAAAAATACATTACTATTTGAGGCAGACCATGCTAAAATATAATTTACAATGATTAATTTGCATTTGAGATGGTTAATAATGCCTTTAGTTTGAACCAATGAAATCAATGTTAAGTTAAATTTTGCAGTATTTGCTCAGTCTTTTTTGTACTAAACATTAGTTCATCTGAGAAGTAAATAAGATTGGAAAAAGTAATGATCTTTTTCTCTATGCTTATTATTTTCTCACTCAGTCATACTAAATGCAAACAATTCAACACAGCATCAAGATTTTTCACATATTAAAATGAAGACTAATGACTTGTGAAGGCAGACTATGTACCATGTAGTATTTAATAGGTAAAACTTGCAATTACCATCAACTCAATTTTTTTAAACAACAAGATTTACAAGCAAAATAAACATTTGATTAAAAAATTTTGCTATTCAAGGTACTCAGGTATCTTCTCTTTGAGATTGGTACAGGTTGGGTCTTTTAAAAACCCAGAGAGAATATGGTAAGAGGGAAAAAATTCCTCAATGCTTTAAAAAACTCTGTCAGAGGAGTCCAAACAACTACTATGCTGGCATAGAAACAGGTGTTTTCTATCTTAGAACCATTCATTTTCCCATAGAAATAGCGCCTCAAAGCCAATTATATAAAGATGTAAATCAGTTCACACATGATTAAATTGAATCCTTTAAAAATAGGAGCAATACACCTCACCCAAATAGATCTTTTAAATCATTGCTAGCTGAACTGCTACTGGTCATAGTAGTTGGTGGCTGTGCAAAGTTCTGTGGGTTAAAGAAAGGATTGGCTTGCATACCAAAGGCAGATTGTCCCATCACGTTCATTTGTGTTCCCATTACTGAACTGCCCATTCCTGGAGACCCTTGAGGAGGTGCAAACTGATTAAGCCACTGATTTGGTTTCTGTTGTGATAACTGGTTCATGCTAACTTTGGGTTTCTGAGGGCCAAAGAGATTATTAAGAGCAGACATATCTGGGGGTCTTTGTTGAGTCTGCTTTGCACCAGCAGGAGGAACCCCCACAGCATTGAAGTTTGGCAAAGTGGAAGGTGTTCCCATTGTCATCGTGGTCACTCCAGGTGTGCTTGGACTACTGAAGAAGTTCTGGTTTGTATTAACCGGCATGTTGAATCCTGAGGTCTGAAAGCCCATGTTAGCATTTAGGCCATTTGTCAAATTTCTCTTTGTATTATCAATTGGTGTAGAAAACATCATGCCAAGGCCCATGGAAGGAACAGAAGTGAAGGTACTTGAAGCAGAACTTTTAGTGGCAGTAACAGACAGGCTGGTCAAAGATGACATATTATCCATCAATGTGTCTGTCAAGTCCTTAGTCTGAAAAATATGAGGGAATTACTTCATCTCCAAGAATTACAAATTACTTTAAGTTAATAATCATTTGATAGATTATATTATAAAGGACAAGTTAAAATTAAGTTCAACAGTCTACACCAAGTTAGCAAACCATGCCACAGACCAAATCCAACCTATCAATACATATTTTTGTTTTTTCACAGATGAACATTTGTAATCAACTTGCTGATAGGTAACACTAATTTTGAACTCAAATGAATTGTTGTCTTCCCCACCTTCCCCAAAAGAGAACTGTATTCTTCTCATTGGTAAATCTTTATAACAAAAATGGTACTTTATTATTTTTATATTGTGAACACTATCAAAATTTTGTGAAAATTTGTTTTCTTTGTTATTACATAAGTAATTTAAAAATATTCTAGCCTTAGCCAGTTTGGCTCAGTGGAAAGAGCGTCAGCCTGCAGACTGAAGGGTCCCAGGTAAAATTCAGGTCAAGGGCACATGCCTGGGTTGCGGATTTGGTCCCCACTGTAGACAGTGCAGGAGGCAGCCAATCACTGATTCTCTCTAATCACTGATGTTTCTATCTCTCTCTTCTTCTCCCTTCCTCTCTGAAATCAATAAAAATGTATTTTTTTTAAATATTCTGGATTTTGCATGTTGATGCACAAAAATGTTTTCCAGAATTTTAGAGATTAAAAGATAACAAAAAATAATTTAAAGAAACCGTTGAAGAAAAAGTTATTTCTGAAACCAGTAAGGAATGTACACTCTCTACAAGCAGGGACTTTAATCACTGCCACAGTACCAGCACCTAAATAACACTGCCTAGAAAATAGTAGGAAATAATTCCTGGTCAGGAAATACATAAAAAGTATTCCTAAACCAAGTTACAAGCCCAACTACAATTGAAACACCAAAATTTGAAAATTATTTTTTAGTCAAAAATACATAAATGCATATTATATTACTGATCATTTCAAAGTGAATAGTGTTGAATTAGCACCATAAGACCTAATATTTTTTAAAAAATAACCTCCTGTTCATCTAGCTTCCTCTTTATTGGTAACAAGCACTATCACGAAACATTATCCACCAGGCAGGCTATTGAGGAGTTGTTGGAAAATCCTTTATGCCCATACTTCTCAGAAACTGCATATTAAATAAAGTATTCTTTACAATACATTTTTATACAAACCCCAATAAGCAGATTAAATTCTCTATTACCTTACTCCTTAAGAGTAGTGTATGCTTAAAAAAAAAACAAATGAACTCTGACCTGTTTCACTGGAGCAATAGGTGTATGTACTTGGGGTTTAAGAGGCTGCTGACTTTTCAACTTCTGTGCCTGCTCCTGTTCTTTTGCTAATTTTTGTTTTTCTTCAAGTGTAAGTGATGCCTTAAAACAAAACAAAACAAAAAAATTAACTGGCAACTTCATAATTCCATTTATAAAACAGAAGATTTCTTTTTTTGTAAAGTACGTCTTGGTATGTTTGACAATACCAAATAGCTTACAAACTACTCATGTATTGGTGATTGCTACAGGTAAGTTACATTTCGAATTAACTTTAAACAAACTGCAAAAAATAATTTTTAGGCAGAAAGTTACAGAATCAGTGCTAAAATATTTCTAGTACGAAAACAATTATTATTTTAAGAACATTCAATAAATCATATTTTACAGACAATGAGAATATGATTAGGTGATTTCATTTTACAAAATTAGGAGATTTTGTTCAACTTTAGTCTATTTCACTCCAAAAATATTCATAAAAAAGCAAAGGAAGAAGTGAACAGCTTCTTTCACAATGCCTGCATCAAATTTAACATTTGTCTGTTTCTTTTACAAACCTTGCTAAACTATAAACTCACAATATGTTCTCTTACAATTTTGAAAAGCCACAATGGCTTTAAACACATAGGTATTCTCATTTGTTGAATGAAAAAAGGAAAACTGCCCTCAGCAGAAATTCAAAATTGAAGTAGTATTTTATATTGGATGCTAACCAATATTTCAACTGCAAAGTATAATTTTATAGTTTATTATTCAAAATCAGAAGCAGAAAAAAGACATAGAATATACCAACGGGCCAAGTACAGCAGAAAAAACAAAGGAGTTAGGCAATCTAGAAATGTTACCCTGTGGGAGGCTGTAATAAAGCAACTAAAAATCATAAGCATGTTTATTTTCAACATGGGTCAGCTCATGTTCCACTGATAACTTTTAAATTTCATAAAAATAAATAAATAATGTTTCTTGTTAAGATGCTAAACATTATTTCCCAACAAAAGTCTGTGGTTTACAGGAAGCCCTAATATATATATATAAAATATATATATTTGTGTGTGTATATATATATGATAAAAAGAACAGTAGTAAAGAAACTTACTCTTTTATGTTTATTCTGTAACACATCCTCTTTATTTTCTGATTCACCACCAGTCAGAAGGTCTGCTCCAATGTTGTTAAAAACTTTGTCAATCTGATGAAATAGAAAAAAGTCAACTGCTTGAATGACGTAAAAACATATTGTGATTTTACTTTTTAAAGATCAAAAGCCCCCAAAGGAAGCACACTGTGAAGCACTTTTTACAAAAACTTAAATAATCTAAATATCTTCATACCTGAGATCCAACATTTGTAACTTTTGCCTCTTCAGAAATATTCCTTTGATTTCCTATATCCAAAGATCTGCAGGAAAATTGATAATTATGACAAAGCAATAAAAAGAAATGCATGTTTTTTAAATACACATGCTAAAATTAATTCATCCACATGGAGTTTATTAGAACCTGAACAAAATGCAACTTCATTCTTTAAGAAGAGTCATAAATATTTTTCACTATTTACTAGTAGTAATGTCTGCTTGCCCCATCCCACCCCCCCAATGAACATTTGTATACAAGTCTTTTTTTTTTAACTCAACATTTGGGATTTACTGCAAAATTTACTCAGGATGCATTAAAACCAGGCAAGCATGGTTCTTACCATCAGTTTATACACTGAGAGATAAGATATAATATGAGGGAAAGTCTGTAACTCTAACAATAAATGCTATAATCACTGTGATGTGGACCTTGAAAAAAAGATAGGATTTAGCCCTGACCGGTTTGGCTCAGTGGATAGAGCGTCGGCCTACGAACTCAAGGGTCCCGGGTTCGATTCCGGTCAAGGGCACGTACCTCATGTACCTCGGTTGCGGGCACATCCCCAGTGGGGGGTGTGTGGGAGGCAGCTGATCGATGTTTCTCTCTCATCGATGTTTCTAGCTCTCTATCCCTCTCCCTTCCTCTCTGTGGAAAATCAATAAAATATATTTTTTTTTAGAAAGATAGAATTTATATTGGAAAAAGAAAAAGAGGGAGTGGGGTGGGGGGAATGGGGGGGATAAGGACACATATGTAATACTTTAATCAATAAAGATAAATAAATAAATAAGAAAAAGAGACGGTTCATTTATACCTTAAGTATAAATGCTAGATATTAAAAATTTCTGTTACAAATTTTTAAAAATTATTTTTCAGGGTTTCTATGTTTATATAGTCAATCGATCAAGCATAATAAATATATACACACTAGAGGCCCAATGCACAAAAATTGTGCAAGAGTAGGCCTTCCTTCCCCCAGCTGCCAGCACTGGCTTCCCTCTGGCACCCAGGACCCGGGCTTATCCTCCAGCCGCCAGCAGGCACCTGGACCCAGGCTTTCCTCGCTGCCCCGGCTTCGTCCAGAAGGACGTCCAGTCCAATTAGCATATTATGGTTTTATTATTATAGATCACAGAATAGTTAGAGCACACAGGCTATTTCACATCATTCTACAATACATCTTGTAGAAGAGTCATAAATATTTTTCACTATTTACTAGTAGTAATGTCTGCTTGCCCCATCCCACCCCCCCAATGAACATTTGTATACAAGTCTTTTTTTTTTAACTCAACATTTGGGATTTACTGCAAAATTTACTCAGGATGCATTAAAACCAGGCAAGCATGGTTCTTACCATCAGTTTATACACTGAGAGATAAGATATAATATGAGGGAAAGTCTGTAACTCTAACAATAAATGCTATAATCACTGTGATGTGGACCTTGAAAAAAAGATAGGATTTAGCCCTGACCGGTTTGGCTCAGTGGATAGAGCGTCGGCCTACGAACTCAAGGGTCCCGGGTTCGATTCCGGTCAAGGGCACGTACCTCATGTACCTCGGTTGCGGGCACATCCCCAGTGGGGGGTGTGTGGGAGGCAGCTGATCGATGTTTCTCTCTCATCGATGTTTCTAGCTCTCTATCCCTCTCCCTTCCTCTCTGTGGAAAATCAATAAAATATATTTTTTTTTAGAAAGATAGAATTTATATTGGAAAAAGAAAAAGAGGGAGTGGGGTGGGGGGAATGGGGGGGATAAGGACACATATGTAATACTTTAATCAATAAAGATAAATAAATAAATAAGAAAAAGAGACGGTTCATTTATACCTTAAGTATAAATGCTAGATATTAAAAATTTCTGTTACAAATTTTTAAAAATTATTTTTCAGGGTTTCTATGTTTATATAGTCAATCGATCAAGCATAATAAATATATACACACTAGAGGCCCAATGCACAAAAATTGTGCAAGAGTAGGCCTTCCTTCCCCCAGCTGCCAGCACTGGCTTCCCTCTGGCACCCAGGACCCGGGCTTATCCTCCAGCCGCCAGCAGGCACCTGGACCCAGGCTTTCCTCGCTGCCCCGGCTTCGTCCAGAAGGACGTCCAGTCCAATTAGCATATTATGGTTTTATTATTATAGATCACAGAATAGTTAGAGCACACAGGCTATTTCACATCATTCTACAATACATCTTGTGCATTTACTTCCATAAGCCTTCATCTTACATTCACTGCCCCGCTTCGTCCAGAAGGACGTCCAGTCCAATTAGCATATTATGCTTTTATTATTATAGATCACAGAATAGTTAGAGCACACAGGCTATTTCACATCATTCTACAATACACCTTGTGCATTTACTTCCATAAGCCTTCATCTTACATTGGGGTAGAAGCTAAAGAGTTTCTATTTGGGAACCTTGCTCACAACTGATAACAATTTTACTGATTGTCAGATGTCTTTGGCTTATGGTCAAAGTTTAACAAGTATCCTAAAACCATGTGTGTGTGTTTTTCCCTCCGGAGCAAAGAATATAGCAAAGATTTGATTTTAATAAACTGGCATTCTCCAGTGCATAACTTTTACCTTCCCCTTCTTCCTTTGAACATAAAATGAATGTTCAATAAATGTTTCTGGGGTTAGAGAAAAAAGAAAGGGGGAAATTAAAACACCAAGGTTTAATAGATTTGAAAAACATTTTTAAGTGGAGCTCTTGATGATCAACACCCTGAGTTTACAGCACCAGCAGATAATGCTGATGAGAGATGTTCTCAGAAACAGAATTTTCTCTATGTAGAGAAAATGCTAAGATTATATCATATTATTATACTTTTGTACTCAGAAATAACATTAGATTTTCAACAACAGTCTAACTTAGTTCAATTTAATATGCTGGGATTTTTTTTAATGTTTGACATATAGTCAAGCTAAAATCCATCATTTTTTCTAGTCCGTATTTCAGAAAATTAATCATTAGATAAATTTAATCTCACACTTAACCACACAAAATTCCCATGCCATCTACTTACTTCTGCTGTTCTTGCATTATATGAAGTTGCTCCAGTTTAGTCTTATGTTCAGACTCCAATCTATTAAGCATCTCTTTAATGACGGAAATGAACGAATTGAACTGGTATAACAAGAAGTTGATATGGTTATAATGTTTCAAGTTAGCAACAAATGTTATCTAATAAGATAATTCAGCAAGTGAAACATAATATCCTCTATTTTCACCAGAATATGACCTATTCATAGTATTGATGTCACAAAAAGTATATTTAAATTCAGCATATCATAGCAAGTTTTCACAATATCTTAATATGGTGGTGTATATAGTTGATGAGCCTTTTAAGTTCCAGAAAACATGTCTCAATTAATTTTATATCCTGATTGTCTTAACAGCTATTATTCATGGGTCTCATATAAATTCATCCCCAGCAGTTATTACATATTGATTTTCCTAGAATTCACAATAGAACATCAAAATTTGTGCATATCTAGAAGCAATCTGCTTAATAATGCAGAAAAAATATTACCATATATTCAGATTATTATAAAAATGTTTGGCCAAAGTAAGCCTTGTTTTCTAAAAAGTTAGAAATACTAAGAAGGCCCTAGCTGATTTGGCTCAGTGGATAGAGCGTCGGCCTGCGAACTGAAGGGTCCCAGGGTTGATTTCAGTTGAGGGCACATGCCTGGGTTGTTGGCTTGAGCCCCATTAGGGATCGTGCAGGAAGCAGCCAATCAATGATTCTCTCTCATCATTGATGTTTCTCTCTCTCTCCCTCTCCCTTTCTCTCTGAAATCAATAAAAATATATTTTAAAAAAGAAATACTAAATAAATGTACATAATCTAACTTTCAAATAATTAAAGTTCATAAAGTAAGTCTAACACTGTATCTTAATGTAGTAAACTTTGATTAAATAATTCTTATAGTCCCCTTCAGGATCATCATAAACAATATTTAAATAACCAGAGGCCCAGTGCACGACATTCGGGGGGGGAGGGGGGGGGCCTCAGCCCGGCCTACACTCTTTCGCAGTCTGGGAGCCCTTGGGGGATGTCTGACTGATGGCAGTCGAGCATCCTTAGTGCTGCCACGGTAGCAGGAGAGGCTCCCGCCACCACCGCTGCTGTTGCCAGCCGTCGGCCTAGCTTCTGGCTGAGTGGCACTCCCCCTGTGGGAGCACACTGACCACCAGGGGGCAGCTCCTGCATTGAGCGTCTGCCCCCTGGTGGTCAGTGTGCATCATAGCAACTGGTCATTCCACCGTTCGGTCGATTTGCATATTACCCTTTTATTATATAGGAGGATACCATATATTATAGGGAAAATCTAGAAACTTTCTTCCCCTCTCCAAATCTCATAACTACATCTTTGTGCTGAGTGCTTATACATACTGGTACACTATTTCATTAATTCTCACAACCCTTCAAAGTTGACTTATTAACATTTCTATTTTATAAATGAGGAAACTCAGGCTCAGCAAGACAGAAACCAAATGCCCTGGCTGGTGTGGCTCAGCTGGTTGGAGAATTGGCCCCTATACCGAAAAGGTTTCTGGTCCAATCTCCGGTCAGGGCACAGACAGGAGGCAACCAATCCTGTTTCCCTCTCACATCGATGTCTCTCTCGCTTCCCCTCTCTCTAAAATCAATAAGCATGTCCTCAGGTAACTTACTCAGAGATATTAAATAACTTACATGGCATAAGTAGAATTCATACTCTGTCTCCAAAGCTTAGCTCTTTTCTACATTGCGTTGCCTCTCACCATGCTCTTCCATCCCTTTATCCTTTGTCTTACCAGGAGAATAACAAAAGGCATGTTTCCTTACTATGACTGACTCTCTGCTAATTAGTTTTTAAAACTTTTTAATGAAGTATAACATACTAACAGAAAAATATACATATAAGTGCACATCTCAAAAAATTCACAAACTGAACTTAACCAGGAGCCATATGAAGAAACAGAACATTGGCAGCACCCCAGAGATTCCTTCTGCTCTCTTCTAGTCATTTACTGCCCAGCCTACACACACCCTGTGAGTAAACACTAGTCTGGCTTCTAGCACGTAGTTTTCACTGTTTTTTCAATCCTCTTCTATGTCTACCTTCATTTGCTCAGCATTATGTTCTGACAGTCATCCACATTGCATGTAGTTGGTGCAAGAGTTAACATAGGCCTGCACTGCTCTCCTTGAAAGGCCTGCTTACGAGGTTGGCCCTTGACTGGTGTCCAGGAAGTTAGCAGGTTCCCCCCATTAACTGATGATAGTGGCAAACTGTGCATAACTGCACAAAGAATATGTTTTATGCTGAACATCTGCTTTTCTTCTGGGAGTCTGAATTTGATTACATGACAGGCAAAGGGTGCTATTGATCAGCTCCCAATAAAAGTCTCCAGGCACTGAGTCGAATGAGCTTCTCTGGTTGGCAACATTTCACACATATCTTCACAACTCATTACCCGGGAAATTAGGCGCATCCTGTGTGACTCCAGCAGATGTCTCTGGAAGCTTGAGCCTGACCCCCAGCCCCTACTTTGCCTTCTCCCTTTGCTGATTTTGCTTTATATTCTTTTACCATAAGAAATCACCCATTCACTCTGGCCAGAGTGGCTCAGTGGGTGGCAGTTTGCTCCTTGCCCTTAGTCAGGGCACATGCAGGAGGCAACCAGTCGATGTGTCTCTCTCACATTGATATTTCTCTCTCTCCTTCCCTCCCTTCATTGGATCTGAAAAGCAATGGGGAAAATATCCTCACTCCTTGGGTGAGGATTTAAAAGAGAAAGAGGAAGAGAGAGAGAGAGAGAGAGAGAGAGAGAGAGAAAGAGAGAGAGAGAAATCACCCATGAATACAATTTTATGCTGAGGTCTGTGAGTCCTCCTAGGGCAGTGGTTCTCAACCTTCTGGCCCTTTAAATACAGTTCCTCATGTTGTGACCCAACCATAAAATTATTTTCGTTGCTACTTCATAACTGTAATGTTGCTACTGTTATGAATCGTAATGTAAATATCTGATATGCAGGATGGTCTTAGGCGACCCCGGTGAAAGGGTCATTCGACTGCCAAAGGGGTC